CAGAGGGTCGATATCCCCAAGAGTCCCCCTAATACTATCTAGACATTTGCTTTTGGGTTTCCATCTGGCCCGTCGCTCTTTGTTCAGGACCTTCGCACGCAGATCGCTGCCTACCTCTACGGCATTTCTCCACCTGATAACCCACAGGTCAAGGAGATTCGGCACCTGGGGCACGCAACCAGTGTGCTGACTTGGGGCCGACATACGCACCACACATAGATAGATGGCGGGGATGCCGAGGCTGCGGGCTGCAGCGTTCTGGTTCTGTTGGGGTTGAGGGCGTGAGTTTTTCTGAAACTGCGGAGACTTCCGCATGAGCCTCAGCCTCCATCTGAGAGACATTGAGAGGCTGGGTCTCATGTGCCCCGAACCGAGGTGCATGGTCATGGTGCCCCAGGTTGGTACGCACAGACGCACGGCCGAATTTCGGAGCCTAGCCTCAGCATCTTGAACAACCCCCCAAAACCATTGAGGGTGTGTGGTTTAGGGCTCTTCGGGTGTGTGGGTTGGTGTAGTCACTGTAGTCTAGCTGGGTTCGAAGAGAAGGTTGCAGTAGCAGGCAATGTGACGCTGCCACAACAGCTGCCCGACCACGATCACCTCCGCGACCTGGAGCCATTGGGCTGGATTCACACGCGACCCTGCTGCAATGACTTCTGTGCGACTCGAAATGGGAATAGACAATCTCCAAGTGATCCCTTTTGCAGCAGACACTTTATGGTTAGGAAGCGATGTTCGATTTCTGAATCTGAATGAGGCAGCCGAACGAGCAGCCGCATCTGAGTCCTCAGGACCTTCAGCTGCATAAGCAAGTTGTTTGAGCCGCATGCAGCGTGCAACATTGTGCACCCTTGATGGAGGACGTAACCTTCCACGCCCGAATGCTGGCAGACAACAAGACCTGGCTGGCGGACCAGACCATCATCATCACGTGCAGCTTCACACCCGGCCCCCCGGGCGAGACTTAAGAGGGTTTAGGTCAAGACGGGCATGATGCAAGGGAACCCCTATGTAGGGCACCGAAAGTGAAAGGGGGCCAGCTTAGGAGCATGTTAACGGTGATCCCTTTGCAGGCTACGCCTTTTGCAAGTGTGGGTCTCTTAAATGACAGGCTGATACCTTATAACCCTTTTAGGGCTCTGTGAGGGGCTTATTCGTGGGTTATAAGTACAGTTTGAATTGGTTATTAAGTACCCCTAAACCCTCAACCCTCAACCCTCAACCCTCAACCCTCAACCCTCAACCCTCAACCCTCAACCCTCAACCCTCAACCCTCAACCCTCAACCCTCAACCCTCAACCCTCAACCCTCAATCCTCAATCCTCAACCCTCAACCCTTAACCCTAAACCCTTGCCGAGGAAGCTGCTCGCTGACAGCTTACCGCATCACGCCCCAGGGCTTCCAGTGGGGTAAGTCGAACAAGGACTAGGGTTCAGGGTTTCGGGTTTGTTCAGGGTTCAGGGTTTAGAAAGGCTGACAGGAAGCCCGCACCCAGGCAAAGCCCTAAACCCTTAACCCTAAACCCAAAACCCCCAACCCTCCTAAACCCTCACCCTAAACCCGCTTAGAACAAGATAAAGCCCCTGATGCCCAAGCTCCAAGTCTCCAAGCTGGGCCCTTGAATCCAGCGCCCAAGCTAACCCCCAACTCAACACCCTCGAAAGCCCTCAACGGCTCTAGGTTCTGGGCGTTTAGGGTTTGTGCGGTTTTTAGGGCTTTTAGGGTTTTGAGGTTTCTCAGGGTTTTTAAGGTTTTTAGGGTTTTAGGGTTTTCGGGGTTTGGCATTCTGAGGCGATGCCTCATAGTTGCCAGGACACGGGCCCCAACCCGGCGGGTTTCCTGCCCACGCACGCGGAGAAGGTTCAGATGCTGCTGAGCCACCCGGCGCTGTTTTCGGGTTTTTGCCTTGAGGCTTCTAGAGGTCTTAAGGGAGGGTGGTTCATGGGGGGTAGGTACCAAGAGACTATTAAGAAACCTTGGGTTACCTACCCCCCTTGAACCCCCCTGCCTTAAGAACTCCATACAGAGGGCCTCGCGCATTAGGGTTTAGGGTTTAGGGTTTAGGGATGTTCGTGATTCGTCTGGCTGCCAGCCCCTCCTCCCCGCGCACTCGGCACAGGGTCCAACGGGTTGGGCTAATAGGCCTGACCCATGGATAACATGAGACGGTCTGGGTCAGAAAGCTCAAAGGCACCCAAGCCTCCCAAAGAAGCAGCCCTAAACCCTAAACCCTAAACCCTAAACCCTAAACCCTAAACCCTAAACTCTAAACCCTAAACACTCAACCCAAAACCTTAAACCCTTATACCCTAAACCCTAAACCCTAAACCCTAACCCAGAAGTCCATGAAGGTGACATCTTCCTGGGCTTCTTCATGGTGTCCCGGGGCGGCAGTTGTGCAGCTTCGTGTGCTGTTTTTCATCCTTCCAGGCTTCCAGAGTTCTCCCGCTTCCCAAAGTGGTGCAGGGCTTGGGTCGCATGCAACCTTTATAGTACGGTTGAGGGTTTAGCGTTAGGCTTTAAGGTTTTAGGGTTTAGGGGAGGTTTTATGTTGGGGTTCAGGATCGAAGGCCCTGAAGCCACAGCACTGTTATGGCCCCCGAGGCCAGACAATGCCCTTTGGAACTACAACTTCATGGGCCAGAAGCACAACCCGACGATGAAGTACAGCCTTTGCGCTGCGGGCTCAGGAGACTCCCCTTGCTACTCTTTGTTTCTCCCTTATACGGGCATCTAGGGATTGTTATTGCACATTTTTTAAGGGGTTCTCAAAGCAAATAGTAGCTGAAGGCTTTGAGGCTTCGGGCCTTGTGGCTTTAGGGCCTTGAGCCCCAGTCGGGTGGCTCATCTCAGCGTTCCAGGTCGAGAACCCCCGTGAGTACTACCACGAGTGCCACAGGCGCCAGGGCTCTGGATGCTGGGCTCTTATCCTGGCACTCTGCCGGGAAAGCTCAGCGACCTCTGAACTCCTGTAACCCCCAAGCCCAGCAACACACCCTCAACCCCAACTACACTAAACCCTCAAACCCTAAACCCTAAACCCTGAACCCTGAACCCTGAACCCTGAACCCTGAACCCTGAACCCTGAACCCCAACCCGCAACTCTGCATGGCCCGCCAGCAGTAAAAAGCCTAGGCCCGAGGCCCAGGACCAAGCCCCCAAAAGCGCCCTGGGCCAGGCCTGCGCACTTCCTGAACTTCACGCAGCAGGAGGAGGTTGGCAACGAGGGTGCGGACCATGAGGCCAGTTAAGGGTGGTTTCCCAAAATAAAGGGCCCCCAATATAGACCCCTAAATAGTAAGCTTCCCCTATAATTAATAAGGACACCAAGAAGGTACCCCGAATTTCCGATACCTCCATTTAGTGTTTAGGGATGTCTAGGCTTTTAGGGAAAGCGGGATTTGGGGTCCGAGGAGTTCAGGGATATTTGGGTTGAGGGTTTAGGGGTGCAAGGGTTTAGGGTTTAGTGTCTATTCAGGTGCAGACCGTCCGTGCGGGGAGTGGCTGTATAGTCAGAGGGTGCCTTTGTGACCTCTGTGCATGCCAGGATCACTTTGTGTGAGCTGGTGAGCGTCTGGCATCACTTTTGTACATGTCCATCGGGGCCAGCCTTACCTCAAGCGGGCCCAAGCACGAAAATGGAAGTTAGGGGATACCACATGATACGTAGGAACAGGTTTTCAAAGGGCTTAGAGGGCCAGCCGAGGAGGAGAACGAAAAGCCAAGAGCTGTCCCAGCCGGGCGCAGTACTTGACCTGGAAGGGTCGCCTGCGTTCCAGCGAGCCATTTTGCTCCCCAAGCATGTTCCTTGCTGGTCGAGCCTCCGTGCAACTCCGCACCACAAAACCCTTAACCCCAAACCCCAAACCCCAAACCCCAAACCCCAAACCCCAAACCCCAAACCCCAAACCCTAAACCCTAAACCCTAAACCCTAAACCCTAAACTCTAAACAAACCCTAAACCCTAAACCCTGACACTAAACCCTAAACCCTAAACCCTAAACCCCTGAGATGCCTTCCTACTGGCCAGCAAGGGATGGTGTGAAAGGAGACTGCTGCCGCGTGAGCCTGCAGTCCCCCAGCGTTCGTATTACAAAAGAGGCTTCAGGGGCTGTTCGGGGCCGAGGTGTATTGCATACAACTTGTATATTGTACATGGTTTATTGCTTGATATAAGATATTCTAGATTGTATACTATATACGTGTTGAATTTGATATTCACAGGTCTAGCTGCTTCACGCTCTTGGGGCAGTGTTCAGGGGTGGAGGGTGGGTTTCAAGCAGATGTTCTGAAATATTCTGGCTGCAATCTACACTTTCGATGAGTGCTCAGAAGCTGTCGGTGCATAACGTCGAGGGCTTTGAGGGCATCGTCTCGGGCTTGGCTTTCATAGCTGAAGCTTCATAGCTGTAGGCTAGGTTGAGGGCGTAGGGTTTCGGCTACGCTAGGCAGCATACACTTTAAGCTGCTCTCCATGTTCGGGATGTGCGATTTTCTGCCGGTTTTGCGAACCACCAGAAGCACGTCATGTTCCGAGGTGCAGGGCCGTGCGCGTGGAGTGAGAGTGTGTTGGGCCGCTTCTGGAAAGACCCTGAACCCGAATCCCCAAAACCCTAAACCCTGAACCCTGAACCCTGAACCCCAAACCCTAAACCCTAAACCCTAAACCCTAAACCCTCAACCTTAAATCCTAAGAAAGAGGGCATCGGAGTGGTTAGCGTGCCGGCCTGCCGCCAAGAGTGGCTCAAGCCCGGAGTGGGTTTTAGGGTTGAGGGTCTCGGGTTTAGGGTTACTAGGTTTAGAGTTTAGGGTTTTAGGGTTTAGGGTTTAGGGTTACTAGGTTTAGGGTTTAGGGTTTAGGGTTTATGGGTTTTAGGGTTCAGGGTGTGGGATCTAGGGTTTAGGGACTTGCAATATATCTCAGGTTGGAACCACGGGCCCTTCCTAAGGTCCCTTGCCCTTGTGTAAGGGGGCCCGAAGCATGGGCGCTTATTATGCCATGGCTCACGGGGATTTCTTGCTGCTATTGCCTGGGGCTGAGATGTAGGGACATGGTGCCTGTACTAGAGCATGGCCCCTAAACCCTAAACCCTAAACCCTAAACCCTAAACCCTAAACCCTAAACCCTAAACCCTAAACCCTAAACCCTAAACCCTAAACCCTAAACCCTAAACCCTAAACCCTAAACCCTAAACCCCGCTCCGCCCGCGCGTTTTGCCGCGCTTCGACTAGAGAGATTTGTGTTGCACATGCTTCACGTATCGTTATTTGCAGTGTTTTATAGCTTCGCGAGTCGCGGAAAAGTCGTTTATGTTAGGACGCCGTTTTATAAAATTCAGCGTCCCAGACGCATACCTCTCGTGAAAAGTGCCGTTGAATGTGTGTGTCTGTGTGTGTGTGTGTGTGTGTGTGTGTGTGTGTGTGTGTGTGTGTGTGTGTGTGTGTGTGTGTGTGTGTGTGTGTGTGTGTGTGTGTGGTGTGTTGTTTGTTGTGTGTGGTGTGTGTGTGCTGTGTGTGCTGTGTGTGCTGTGTGTGCTGTGTGTGCTGTGTGTGTGCTGTGTGTGTGATGTGTGTGTGTGTGTGTGTGTGTGTGTGTGTGTGTGTGTGTGTGTGTGTGTGTGTGTGTGTGTGTGTGTGTGTGTGTGTGTGTGTGTGTGTGTGTGTGTGTGTGTGTGTGTGTGTGTGTGTGTGTGTGTGTGTGTGTGTTTGTTTGTGTTTGCTTGCAAGGCCAGAGCGGGCAATTTTCTTGCTGACCCGGCGAATGTCTGAGAAGCATTCACGAATCCACACCAAAGCATCGAGCCCGGTACCGTGTTGCTGTGGGCAATGGACGCACTGGCAGCATAAACGTTATCAAGGTTCGGGCACGGTGCCCTAGGCACTCGCACGTACTGGTACAGTGTTGCTGTGGGCAATGGACGCACTGGCAGCATGAACGTTATCAAGGTTCGGGCACGGTGCCCTAGACACTCGCACGTACTGGTACAGTGTTGCAGTGGGCAATGGACGCACTGGCAGCATGGATGTTATCAAGGTTCGGGCACGGTGCCCTAGACACTCGCACGTACTGGTACAGTGTTGCTGTGGGCAATGGACGCACTGGCAGCATGGACGTTATCAAGGTTCGGGCACGGTGCCCTAGACACTCGCACGTACTGGTACAGTGTTGCTGTGGGCAATGGACGCACTGGCAGCATGAACGTTATCAAGGTTCGGGCACGGTGCCCTAGACACTCGCACGTATTGGTACAGTGTTGCTGTGGGCAATGGACGCACTGGCAGCATGGACGGTTCGGGCACGGTGCCCTAGACACTCGCACGTACTGGTACAGTGTTGCTGTGGGCAATGGACGCACTGGCAGCATGAACGTTATCAAGGTTCGGGCACGGTGCCCTAGACACTCGCACGTACTGGTACAGTGTTGCTGTGGGCAATGGACGCACTGGCAGCATGGACGTTATCAAGGTTCGGGCACGGTGCCCTAGACACGCGCGTGGAGGCCTCGACGAATTTGAGCTGAAATCTCTCGGAAAGCATGGCAGGGACGGTGTTGACTCAGATGGTAAACCTGCGGCAAGACCTGTGGTCGTAGGGCTAAACCCTAAACCCCAAACCCTAAACCCTAAACCCATCGACCCTGAAGCTCTAGGCCGAGGTGGGCTTGCCGCCTTTCTTGTTGTGGCCACAGCTTAGGTCGCTGTCTCTTCTGTCTCGCGGCTCCGCGGCGACGAGTTGGCAGACAATCTCGCCCTTGCTCTTGGACGCGGAGTTCAGCAGCGATGCGTGTTGGCACACCCGAAACCCTAAACCCTAAACCCTAAACCCGAAACCCTAAACCCTAAACCCCAAACCCTAAACCCTAAACTCTGAGCGAAGTCCTGCTGCGCAAGGGGAGGCTTTCACGTTCGTTTGTTGTTACATCTAAGGATTTACCGATCATTCCAGAGGCTGGAACTGCAGCACAGCTGTACCAGGATGTCGTCATCGGAAATGGCCACTTCTTCAAGCCAAGTACGGTGTTTTTGGCAATCATGCAGTGCCGGGTTTGTCCCTGAAGACTGGAAGGTCACTTTGTTGACTTTGGGGTCACCAAAAAGTTAGCATTTGTTTGTTTTGGGTGTGCGGGGGGGAGGGGGGGGGGGCGGGGGTGCTTGTGATTCCTGTAGCTCTGTCAGGATATCCCTTTGGCTCCTACAAAGTCGGCATGGGCGATGGACGCCTTGACGTGAGCAACGCATCGTCCAGTGCTTCCGCATCGGCCTTGTGCAATGAGTCGATATTGTCCCCCATCCTCGCTGGCCCAATGTTGACCTGCACCGCTTCATCCTGCTCCGGCCCTGGCTTGGGGGAAGGTTCGCAGGTTTGCCGGGCCCAGTTCCACTCAACCGCTTCGAGTATCCAGCTTGGGGGACGAGCGGGCACGTTCTGGGCTCCGGCGCTGGCAACACCAGCGTGGGCGCAGTACATATTTCCGGCATCTCGGTTAGGTTAACACCGCCTCTGGAGCCAGGAGAAATGAGCTGCCACCCCTCCCCCCGTCCCCCGCCACCTGGCTGTTGAGGTACAGAACGTGGCCCTAAATAGGGGACCCGCCGCGACCAATAAAGTTCCCTTGCGTTCTAGGTTGGGAAGGCTCCGAGCACTTAGGTAGTTTTGTGGTCGGAGGCCCGCCCATTGCATGTTCTGGTTGAAGCCTGTCAAGGCCCACGGGTTTAGGGTTTGCGTAGACCCATGCACCTTCAAGTAGTCGCCCTAGACCCCAAACCCTAAAGCCCCAAACCATCCCAAACCCTAAGCCCTCAACCCGTCAGTATAGTACAGCAAGCAAGCAGACCTTGTGGCAAGGCAGTTCCACCGGGCGCCAACAACATCACCATGCGATTCACGCTGGACTCTAGGTACCTGGGTTGCGGCGAAGTAAACTACCATGGAATCCCCAAAGCTCTAAACCCTAAACCCTAAACCCAAAACTTTTAGCCCTAAACCCTAAACCCTAAACCCTAAACCCTAAACCCTAAACCCTAAACCCTAAACCCTAAACCCTAAACCCTAAACCCTAAACCCTAAACCCTAAACCCTAAACCCTAAACCCTAAACCCCAAAGCCACAACCCTAAACCCTAAACCCAGGTATCGGCCCGAGCTCTACGGGGGCAACAGCTGCAGGAATGCCACTGCCGACTACAACTGCACCCTGCGCCTTTGCGAAGCACGCCGAACCCCCCTAAACCCACAAGGGTTTAGGGTTTAGGGTTTAGTTGGGGCTTGGGGCTTCGGGCTTAGGGCTTAGGGCTTCGGGCTTAGGGCTTAGGGCTTAGGGCTTCGGGCTTAGGGCTTAGGGCTTAGGGCTAGAACCCCCTACACCCCACACCCCACACCCCACACCCCACACCCCACACCCCACACCCTAGACCCTAGACCCCCAGACACTAGACGCTAGACCCTACACCCTACAACCTAGACCCTACACCCTAGACGCTAGACCCTACACCCTAGACGCTAGACCCTACACCCTACACCCTAGACCCTACACCCTAGACCCTAGACGCTAGACGCTACCTTCGGCAATCTGCGAGGTGCACGAGGGGGAGTTGGGACCACTCCGCGGAGGCGGGCGTGTTCGTCCTTTGGGCGGCCGCCGGCCGCAGCGAGTACCTGGGAAGGTCTTGAACGTTTAGGGTTTAGGGTTTCGGGTTTAGGGCTAGGGTTTAGGGTTTAGGGTTTAGTGTTTTTAGGGTTTTAGGTTTGGGGTTTAGGTTTCAGGAGATTTCTCTGCACTATGGCTTATGATTGGGGTAGCCATAAGGCCCGCATTATTATAGGACCCGCCCCAAAGGAACTTAAGTTAGAGAGCCCCCCTTCCTCACATGACGTTTTATTCCTTAGAAACCCCCACAGTAGTATTTTTGTTTAGTCTGCCTTAAAACAAAACTCTTCACCTGCGTTCCAAGCAAAGTATAGGTACCACATCACCGGTCCGCATGGCGGGTTGGGCGAAGCCTTTGATGCAGGCGGGGCTGAGGGGAGCTTAGGGAGCTTACTTGGCTCATAGGTATTCATAAGTGGGCTTTGTAAGTACCTGAATGAAGGTTTTTCATATAGGTTGTTGCCCTACTTAGAAGCCTACTTATACTCATCCATGAAGGGGAGTTTAGGTTCCCACATGAGCCAAATGCGTTCAGCTATTCTGTTGTGGAATGTTACAGAAATTAGAATGTGTGAAGGCTCTTTAGGGAGTAGGAGCATACATGGTGCATCCCCTGTAAAGATCACTACACGGGATCAGATCAGAAGTAACCTCACTCCAGTGATGACAGGTCCGCAGGTCCTAGAAAGGATACGCGCACGCAGAATAGGTGTAGTTAGCTAGCTGCGTGTAGAGCATGGAGGTGAGATGACGCAGATCTTCCAGCCACCCACAGAGTTGGATCTGCAAGCTGGGGAACATCCCGTGGTTGCCTTCATGACATTCAGTCAATACCCGGCGTATGGGGAGGCTGCGCGCGATAGCAACGGCCGGTGCAGTGTCGGCTGGAGTGATCAAGGAGAGCACTCTTTCAAGGACCTTCCGGAGCGTTTTTTTTTGGTTCTGTTTTTAAAAGTGCGAGCTGTACTGGGCCATGGGGCCATATTGAAGCTGCCCTAAGCATTGGATGTACATTGAAAGCAGATGAAGGACAAGCCTTTTATGGTGGTGGATGTTGAACTTATTTACCGACAGGCGCTTGCACTACCAACGGTGCCGTCCGAGTCTCATCCAAGACTGTTCGGCAATGACACTTTTTGGATGTCGCAGCGTGTTCGCCCCTTCTTCGACGCCTCGTGCGAGCCTCTTGCTAAAGATGGTGTAGGCTGGTTCGAGGATCCTGGTGTCGCTGATATCAAGTCCCATTTCGAGATCTCAGCCAGAGGATTTCGATCTTGCCATGAAGCCTCCAAAGACGGAGGTGACATTGCAAGTTATGGGCCTGCCCGCAAGTATCTTGAGTTCGATGGCAGTGCCATGCCATCATACACAGATGGGTTGAAAGTGCTGCACCTGCTCCGGCGCCAATGGGCTTGTGCCGAGGCTCATTCAGATTCGTTCGCATCGTGTGAGTACAACGACACCGAGACAGACAGACTAGCCCAGGCCGTTGTTCAGGTCGACCAGATCCGCTTCAATTCCACGACCTGGACGTGTGGTGTCAGCTGCGGCGCGGCGTCTGGCGAGGTCATCTTCGACCTGACGACCTCAGAGCCCGTGAACTACTTCAGCACCTGGTACGATGTGCTAACAAGCCAGCCGGGCCTGCTGGACAGTGCTCTTGAGTCCCAGGTGTCCCGGGCCCTCAAGGAGCAGATGGGGCTCTTCCGTTCGGCCTTCCTCACAGGGCACTGGAGCCTCTGGAACGGAAACAACTGGACGCCCCACCTCTGCATCGCGGCCATGGTCTGGGCCATCAGCTTCTGGCACGAGGAGCCAGAGATGGCCCGGGAGGTCGTGGGCATGATTAACGACATCCTCTGGCTGCATCGAAGCATGTATACCGCCGATGGTGTGTATGTTGAGGGTGTGGCCATGTATTCTTTCATGTCCGTCACGGGCCTGATTGGGATCTCCGCCCTGCAGAAGGCCTCCTTCGGGTTTGCGCCTGAGGCAGTCGATGAAGATGCCTTGACTCGCCTCGTGAACTATCACTTGGCGAGCATGTCAACCGATGCATACACCGTCGCATTTGGTGACTCCCACCGCAAGAGAGGCTGGGGCGACTTCTCGACTTTGCAGGCAGCCGTGGCCCCGAACATCGTCCGTGATGCTCTGCAAATGGACACTTTGACGCCCTGTGGCGCGCGTGAATACTGCTCGGCTAGGTACGGCAGTGGAGGGCTGTATGAAGATCCCTGGAGAATTAGCCAAGAGCTACTGACGCTGAATCTGACCGACCTGGTGCTGCAGTGCTCTGTGGCCCCAAGCCAGCCACTGGGCGGGCAGACCGTCCGGGTTTTCCCTGAGGGTGGATACGCCTCCATTCGGACGCCGCTCTTGGCTCCCCATGACGCGTTCCCGTGTTTCGGCGCGGGCAACGCGGAGGTCTGCGTGCAGCAGAGCCCCTCGCTGGCAGACAACATACCGTATTCCTTCCTTGCCTTGCAGGCTGGCCAGGGTCCGAGTTCCTACTATTTGCCTAAGAACCCCCCCAAAACCAAAAGATAATAATCCCTATATTGCCCTTATAAGGAGTATTTGTGTTTTGGGGGGTTCTTAAGCAAATAGTAGGTTCATGAAGCCACAGCCATGGGCGCCCGTCTTTGTAGCGGCCGTCTGTAGTGAATGTAGTTCGTAGGAGTCAATTGATACTGAATGTGTGCTGTTAAGAAGCGCCAGGCTCGGCCAAACGCGCACCCGCACTCCGAGGTGGACTTTGCAACTTTCATCTGGTCTGCCTGGGGCTCCCGTCTGATATCTGAATATGGGTATGGCACCATTGCAACTGCTGTCGGACCCTGGGATGCAAGAAGGTATGAGTACATAGACAACAACCCAGCAGGCCACAACACAGTGGTCATTCGCGAGGCGTTCAAAGATGCGGAGGAGAGGATCAACTTCTCGCAGTTGCACCTGGCCCAGGGAAGCCTCCGCTTCGCAAGCTCAGAGGTGGACCCTGGTGAAGGCAAGTGTTTGGAACTTGATGGCTCTGCTGTGTACGGAGCTTTGCGCGAGGACGGGTGGTTGGATACGATGCGCCGATACGTCTGCCCGGTGTCGGATGGCACGTTTGTGTTGGTAGACTTGCTTGCTGTCAAAAGAAACCGTAGTGCGCTGCACATCTATGGGGCGCAGTATGGAGGACCCAACTTTGATGAGACAGAGCCCAGCACGCAGCTTCACATTGACGAGTACTTCCACACGGAAACGAGCGCACCTTTGGCCACGGATGCCGACGGGAACCGCCTGGCAGAGGAGTTGGAGTTTGACCGCGATTCAGATCCCGCTTCCTTCAAATGGTGCTCACATGTAGATCCCGTGGTTCTAAATCCTGGTTCGGTAGCCCTGTATGCCAAATGTGGGCTTGGGGGGTTTCGTCCAGCTGACGGCTCGGGCTTGATTAGCGGGCTCTCCCTGTCTGGTGGTCATTTCATCTATGACGGACTAGTCACAACGGTAGACACCTGGAAACGGCCCAACTGGCTCAAGAAGCGGCGCATTCGGTTCGTCGGAAACTCTTCGGTCGCTGCTGGCGGAGACGTGCGGCTTTTTGTTCTCAGCCCCTTTTCAGCTACTCGCAATGAGACCCCCGTTGTGGGCTTGGAATCCTGCACGGGCGAGTTGGGCTGTCCTGCCTACGCAACCAACATGGAATGCTCCTGTGTTGCCACGTGCTTCCACTCCACCGTGCGATGGGCGGTGGTGCTTGTTGGACGGCTCCACGCCTTCGCCAGCGTGGGGCCCTGAGTTACTCTGAACACTTTCCCACCACCCCCCGCCCCCGCCTCCCCTGCCCTAAACCCTAAACCCTGAACCCTAAACCCTAAACCCTAAACCCTAAACCCTAAACCCTAAACCCTAAACCCTAAACCCTAAAACCCCTAATGGCCTACACGGTTGACACACCCCAGACCCCCAGAAGCCTTTGAAAGTCGTGGGCGCCGAGGTGGGCAACTGCACGGATGGGGTGCCAGGACACTCGCTCGCCTCTGAGCAGGTGCTTCGTCTGCCGATTGGGAAGGTTTTTCTCTGTTTCGGGTTCAGGCCTTTTTTGTCCGGACAATATCCGCTACATTAACCAAGCAGGGTTCACGGAACTGTCGGTGTTTGTTGGGGTTTAGGGTTGCCCTATCGCAGGCGCCTCGTTTTTGCCCTCGGCCCCAGTACGTAAACGCCTGGACTCCAAGATTTTCCCTAAACCCTCGACTCTCAACCCTCAACCCTCAACCCTAAACCCTAAACCCTAAACCCTCAACCCTAAACCCTAAACCCTCAACCCTAAACCATCAACTCGAATCCCTAAACCCGTGTCAGGTTTTGGCCCTGCAGTCGGCGGCTGCGGCAGTCCTGAGCAGCTTGCAGCATTGGGTTGAGAGGATCTACCTTCAGGTTCATGGGTCGTATGTAGGGTATGCAAGGTAGCCCAGAGTCTAACCCTTATTTAAGGTACGTCTCAGCCCCAACTTTTACATTAGTAACACGGAACCCTTCAAGTAGAGTTTAGGCTATAGTCAGGGTGAAGTCTGAACATGTCGGAAGAGTACCCGAGCAGCTTGTACACACAAGGTCAGGCCGGGTACACCGAGCCCACTTCCCAATCGACTTCTGCCAGCGGTTCCAGTGGGAGCGGTGCTCAGTTTGCTTTCGCCTGTGGTCTTTGGGCTAGGCACCCTGAACCCGAAGCTCTACAGCCTAGCAGTAGGAGCTGCTACTAGCAGTGCTAGAGCGGTTGAGGCGGTGAGGAGTGATTCCTGTCGCGTCGCAGTTGATAGGAAGAATGCTGCTAGCACTGGCGAGATCACTGCTCAGACCAGCTATCCGTTGAAACATTCAGTTTTGAAGCCAGCCATGTCAAAGGACAACGACAATGAGTGAAACCTCCAGCACGTCGACCGACTCTGCTCCAACCACAGTTGGCAACAACTCTAACATGTGCAGCCCTCAGTCTGCTCAGTCGCCCGATAGCTGAAGGGCTTGAGGTTTAGGGTTAAGGGTTTGAGGTGCCCTAAAACCTAAACCGAGATGAACAGTCGGCAGGGAGACGGTGGAGTTGTGGAGAGTGCGCATGAGAACCAAGGACGGCCACAACCACCGACGCCGCAAGTACGTCGGAGGCCTCCATGCTCGTTGGCAGCGCCAACCTCTTCAGGCGGGTCCTTCGTAGGGAATGAGGGAATGGGGGGGTCCTATGTATACCCTTTCAGTGAGCATGTAGGGGGCCCAAGAACTCCCTTGTTCCCTACTAAGAACCAGCCAGCGAATTCAGGTACGACGTGGTCCTGTTCTTCGTGCTACAGTACTTGGTCCTCTTGGTCTGCCCTTGGGCTTGGGAAGCCTATTGTTTTTCACCAGGATTTAGGTACAGTCATGGTTTACAAGAGGGGGTAAGAGGAACTGTGCCTAATTGCCTGACTTCCTAGAACTAGTGGGGAATCTCTTCTACTTTGGTCCGACCATGTCCGACCATCGACCATTTCGGACCAGCCCAGTTGGATTTGGAAGCCGACGCTCCAAAGGACCCAGAGGGCCGAGCAGCCTGTTTATTCTGAGAAGGAACTTCATCATGTGAAAGAACACCATGCGAAAGAAAAGATGTACTGAGCGCAAGTGATCCGAGCTCACGACTAAGGACCCGACGCCCTGAGCCTTATGCGAGATCGAGAACGGCAACACGACCATCGAGAGGGGCCCTGCTGCCTTGCACGGCCCATTGCACGGCTAGATGAACGTAGCGAATGATAAGGGCGGTGAAGAGTCAAGTCGGGGGGTGCACCCGTCACGATTTGACTTGGCTGATCGCCTCAACCGCTCGGGGAGTCCTCAAAGTCAGGGTTCTCACCAGCAGCCCCCTTGGCCGCCAACATGGCTTGGGCCTTACAGCGCTGCAAAGTGACAGCTTGAACCTGACATCCAGGCCTTCAGGATCTGCTGAGCCCCCGTGGCCTTCCGGCCAAATATCGTGTGCAGAGGAGAAAGCGCGACGGCCTCCGGCTTCGCACCTTTGCCCAGCTTGGTGCTGAAAGCTCTTACGCAATCGCTTGGCTTGTTCCTGCATGGCCGCATAGCATGAGCAGCACTTTGGTCCATTGGTGGGTTGTCGCTTTGGCAGCTGCTCTCTCAAGTCAAGTCGGAGACTCGTGGGCTAGAGCCGGTTCACGCTGCATGCTGCGCACATGGGCTAGGCTAGGCACACAGACAGGCTCTGCCGCTCTGCCGCTCGCTGCGGTCGTCTAGGTCTTTGTGCTAGTACTGTCAGCCATGGGCAGTGGAGCGTCTTCGGATCCCCGGCAGCGTGCCGAGGTGGCTGCGCCTGGGCGCATGGAGTTGCCAAAGAGGTAATCCCAACTCGGCAAAAGCTCCGGACCTCTCGTGAACCGAAACCCTATACATCTCTGCGACAGCTGAGGAAGAATGGTTCCAGCAGGCAGACGTGGACCAGTACCCGGCCTTGCAATCAAGTTTCGGGTCGAGTCGTTCCCGAAAACCCGGAGGGAAACCCTGAACCCTGAACTGTTAGACTCTGAACCCTGGACCCCAACCCCGGCTTCCCTGAAGCCTAGACCCTGGGATGTCTGTGCCTATGGGGAGAGCTGTCAGTCGAATTTGTTGGAGTTGACCGATGTCCAATCCATACCCCTAAGCCCCGAAACCCTGAACCCCTGCACCCTAAACCTGTCGAGTGGTCCAATGCATCTGAGGGATGGCAAGCTCTCACTCGATGAGCTGCTGGCCGCGGCCCATGCCCACCACGAGGAGAGCGAGTGGACTCGCGAGCGGATCGTGTCCTGCCTCCATGCCTACGACCAGAACGGCGATGGGATGCTGGACCGAGCAGAGTGGCAGGCCGCGTGCGAGGGTGCTATCTGGTGGCAAGCAGCGTGTGAAGGAGCCCTGTGACACTGCGGTCAGCAGAACCTCAGATCTGTCTTGATCTTGAAGATGGCAAGACGCAATCCGGACCTCAGCTCATCCAACAGTGCCAGAGCTTTGCGCCCTGTTGGTTGGCAAGATGCCTTGGCCTTGACCAAGCTTCTTCCGCATCTTCTGAACCTCAGGTTCAGAATCAATCCCTTCGAGTGTGGTTGCAAGTGAGGCTTTTCCGACCTATGCCCGTAGGAGAGCATGTCATCGCCCCATGAGCGCTGCCCAAGCTTCTTTTCTCTCTGCGCTGCCCCCTGGCATGAGAATCAGCAGAGGTTTAGCTCCTTCTGAACTGGTAGGGTTCTGTGGTCAGACGTGGGGGCAGCAGGAGTTGCGGGCACGACAGCTTTGGGGTGTTCCCCGGCAATCTTTGCTGGTTCTTGTGGCCACCGCTGGGCCCTGGCAAAGCCACGCCCCCCATGCCCCTTGAAAGGCACCCAGCTGCGCCAAGGTAAAGGATCCCTCAGCCCCCCCTGCCTGGGAGCCTCTGAAGCACAAGCAGCATCCGAAACCCCAAGAGCCGAAACCTGAAGCTTGAGAATGCCGGGCTGCCGAACGCCTCTGCCATCTGCCCGGACTTGGCCCTCTCAAGCCCTGACCCCAAGCACCCCTGGTACCAAACACTGCCAGCCAACACCCTCAGCCCCAAAACCCTTGACTTAAACCTTACGCCCGAGACCTTCAACCGCCAGCCCTTGAAACCCTAAAACCTAAACCCTAAACCTTACCCCTAAAATCGGAGTTTCTGGACACCGGAAGCTGTGCGGCCACCTGGCCGGGCCCTGGCGAAGCCATGGCCACCCTGTTGGCGGGCAGCCTCTTCGCCGGCCGGGTGCGGCCCCGGTCCTCGATTGCTTTTTTCGGGGGGTTTCGAGGGCTTAAGGGGGGGTTTCGTTTTTTGTGGGGGGTGACTCTAAGTGATGGCTGTCATGTGGGGACCCGAACTATAAGCGCTTGTATTACATGAGCCAGAAAGGGGGCGGAAGCTTCATGCAGTCAGGAATGGGCATTTCCGAACATGGGGGGTGCCCCATAATATACCCCAAACTAGAAAAATCCCTGTTATAGGAACCCCCCATATATGGGTACCCCCCCTATTTTCGGGAACCCCCAAAAGTCCACTCCTAAACCCTCCCAACCTGGAGGTTCAGGGTACTTATGAACTCAATACGAACTGTACTTACAGTACAACCAAATGATAGCCATACTAGGGGGGCACTTAAGGGGCTTAGAAGTGGGTCATAAGTACAGATATGATTGGTTGGTAAGTACCATGAACCCTAAACCCTAAACCCTAAACCCGAAACCCTAAACCCTAAACCCTAAACCCTAAACCCTAAATCCTAAACCCCCAAGCCAACTCCCGTCGCGCCGTTCCCCTTCGGCTCCAGCATCTGCCTCTTGCGGGCGGACAGCCCCGGCACCCTGAATGTAGACGCAGCAGAGGACCTTGCATCTTCGAGGCATCCTTGCCTTGAGGTGTTTAGGGTTTAGGGTTTAGGGTTTAGGGTTTAGGGTTTAGGATTAAGGGTTAAGGGTTAAGGTTTGAGGGGCGGAGTACCCAAACCTTCATGAAATCCTCTAAGCTTCTGGCTTGAAGCAGTCGTCGCCACTGGCGCGTGCATCCGCGACCCTGCTCAAAAAGCTGCGCCCAGGTGTCGACAGACCTCCAGAAACTTTAGCCCTACCCTGGAAAACAAGACAGCCAACCGCCCCAAGCAGCTCCTGGGGCTATCTGAAGTTGATGCTGTGTGCCTTTTTTGGCCGGAAGCCGGATCTTCGGTGTTGGGAAGCTGAAGGGCAGGGCTCAAACCTCCAACCCGAAGCACCACTGAAGCCCTCGACTGCCCCAAACCTGCTGCTAAACCTTCAGGGCCTCGTTTTTTTTTTCCAGGCGAACAATCCAACCTGAAATATTAGTAGCAGTAGTATGTGAGTCGTAAAAGATGTAAAGAATGGATATCCTGTGTTTCTGGTCATAAGAGAGTAGCACGAGTCGTAAGAGGAATTAGAGTAATAAGAGTATGCAGAGTACTAAGAGTAATAAGAGTACTAAGAGCAAGTAATAGAAGTAACAGGAGTCATAAGAGTAAGCGAGTCAGTAATAAGAGGAATAAGAGTAACTTGGGACACAGGAAATCGGCTTCAAATACGAAAAGCCTGCGGCCCTATGAGAGACAATGTGAGGAAGTTTAAAAGCGAAGACAGAAAGGCGAGAGCGAGATTTTAGTCCAACAACGAGCTGGCTTAGGAAATAAGAGCAGTAAGAGAAAGTAGCAACAGTAGCAGTCGTCGTCATCTTCGTCGTCGTCGTGGTGGTGACGGTAATGATGGTAGCAATAATGGTAACTTGGGGGATGTCCCCCCTTACAGCAACAGTCCTTTATGGACTGTTAGAATACGGGGGAACATCCCAAATCGTAACAACTAGTCTTGAACAGACGATGCGCCTGGTGCTGCTCGCTCTCCTGCACCTGGTGTACCTGGTGGACAGCGCCCAGGCAGTGGGACATGCATTATTATGATTATGATTTTTGTTATAGTATTAGTATTAGTATTAGTATTAGTATTAGTATTAGTATTAGTATTAGTATTAGTATTAGTATTAGTATTAGTATTAGTATTAGTATTAGTATTAGTATTAGTATTAGTATTAGTATTAGTATTAGTATAAGAAATTAGTATTAGTATTAGTATTAGTATTAGTATTAGTATTAGTATTAGTATTAGTATTAGTATTAGTATTAGTATTAGTATTAGTATTAGTATTAGTATTAGTATTATTATTATTGTGGTTGAGGGACGAGGGCCCTGGCTAACCACGGCTAATCACGCAAGCTAGCTCCACGGAGCTTGCGGGAGTTTTTGTTTTAAGCCTTCTTGGTTTTGGGACACGTAGGACTTGAGGGGCCTTGATATCCCTGATATCTCAGGTATTTGAGGCGCCACGGGCG